ATGAAATCATTTTGTCAGAGCAAAATATCTATGTTTTTAACACTTGAAGGTCAATATATTTTTTACATTTATAGTTTAATAATAATAATAATATTTCCTCCAGATATTCATGTTTAGGTTTATTACAAGGTTTTTATAAAATTACTTAAAGAAATGTATTTAAGAATTTTTTAGGATGCTCCCATATCGGTCCATTAGGTGCTAAAATATTAAAGAAAACCTCTTAGAACACTTGTCTTAGTGGTGCCACTGTCATATCCTAGATATATCACTAGATCATACCAGTTGCAGCCATAGTAACTTGAAGGATATTTTAACTATTGTGATGGTTAACAAGACAGTCACTGGACTTTTGCTACTTTAGTGAATATTTGATTTTCATGGAGAGTGCTGTCCTTGTGCCAGACTAATCTAAGTTTGATGGGTATCTGTTCTGACTATTGTTTTAATCCTTTCATCTGAATGGGAATCCCAATAAAATATCTAAATAATTCTAGTTGTTACATATCACTGCAGACACATTTTTATCCCCTCCCTCACCCCACAAAAATAACTTTGTTTAAAAACATGTTTGATCTAAATAGTGCTTATTGAAAATTTCATTAATATATATATATATATATATACACACACACACACACACTACTTACATTAGTCGGACTATTGTCTTCATCTTTGTTGCCATATTTTGGCTTTTGTACGCTCCAGCCTTCTTCAGGCTGAACCTAGACTGTTCTAGTTCCACGTATCAAGTCTAATGTATGTCAGTTATCTGCTGTTAATTTTCAAGTTCTCCACTGCCTTAACTCATAACTCTTTGGGTCCTGTCACTGGATCTAACCAATGCCCTTATCCACTGTGCCATGTGTCCTTAAGGACATCTGTGTATGAATTTCTGGGACTTATAAACCTAATGTCTTCAACCATTTTTACCAGTGCTTGTATTGTATTTTTTGCTGTTATCATTTCATGTTTTTTTTACCAGAGCTCATATTGCAATTTTTGTTATTATCCAAACACCTGAAGAAGGTTGGAGCGTACAATAGCTGAAAGGTTATGATAAATATGGCAACAAAGATGAGAATAATAGTCTGAATAATGTAAATAGTGTACATAATACCTCATCTCAGAAATATAGACATATATATATGTGTGTGTGTGTGTGTAAAGGATTAAATATTTTAAAAATGGAATGCAAAAACAATTAAATAAAAATAAAACTATATGAATCAACATTAAAAAAGTGGATATCTGAATAAATTAGAATATATAACTACAAACAATACTTACAAAAATAAAAGAAAAAGAAATATATAGTTTAACCCACCTTGTAATAATATAATAAAAACAAAAATAGGAAAATTATTCTTTAAATTAATAGATAAATATTTTCTTTAGAATAGTAAACTATCAAAAATCATTAATAATAATATAATAAAAATCAGCTACAATTGTATGAGTAATATGGAAAATATAATAAATAAAGATATAAAAAATAATAATTACTGCATTAATACAAATCTGAATAATAATTATAATTGCCGAAATAAAAATAATTGTCCACTTGATGATAAATGTTTAACCAATAATATAATATATAAAGCAACTGTATCAGTATTATACAGAACAAAAAATATATATAGGAGCTAGTGAAACAGCATGTAAGAAAAGATGTAACAATCATAAAATGCCATTCAAATTAAATAGATACACAAACAACACTATATTAACTAAATATATGCGGACTCAAAAAGAAAAAATATATACTTACAAAAATCAAATGGGGAAATAATAAAAAAAGTACCTTCAAATAAAATTAAAAATAGAATATGTCAATTAGGCTTAGAAGAAAAATTATGTATAATAAATGTTTACAATGAAATTATTAAACAAAAGAAATGAATTAATGGGTAAATGTAGACATTTTAATAAATATCTAGTTTGTAACTTAAACACCAACATAACATAATTTTCATAAATTTTAACAAATATCTAATTTATTTATATATATATATATATATAAAAACAATGAAAAGTAATAATTATAATAATTGTGAAATTACAAAAAATATATAATAATTAAAAAATAAACAATGGAAAAACAATTACATTGAAAATGATGCATTTGGGAGCACAGGAGGAAGCATGAATATGCACATGTCTGTTGTGTATTGAAAATATCTCCTTGAACAGTGTAATGGACATTTAAAAAAAAAAAAACATTTTCACCGTTGAGAAGTGGACGTGATCTGCAAAACTGCATAGTAGGGTAAAAGATATTAAAAAATTCACAAAACTGGTATTAATTTGCAGAAATTACACACACACACACACACTTCTTTTTTGCTAATTATTTTATGCCTTAAAATGTTAGAGAAACAACGAATCCTTGTTCACCCAACACAGACCTGGTATATCTATGAAGATGTAGATAAATCTTTCAAGTCCTGAGAGAGATTTACACACATAGATAGAACAGGTAAAATTACTTGCCAAATTGTTGTTGCAGATAATAATTGCTGGTTGGGTGCTGGCTGCCTGATGGATTTTCATGTGCTGTTTTAGACCACTTGAGCTTTTGATAATTTTATTAAGTGTCAGGGAATGAATAATTGTTTCCAACAGAATAATGAATTCTGGGTCAGCATGTGAAAGACAAATGTGATTACAAAGATAGAAATGGATCCTTGGAATTTACTGAAACTGTTAAGGTCATATTTCTTTTTATTAATTTTCATTTCAGTTGTACAGAATATATAATGATTTTAAAATGGTTTGAGAAAGGTGTGAATGGAATAAATAATTAATAAAAGTGCTCACGGTAAAGAACACTGCTTTATATGATTATACAGTGAATTAACTCTTGAGATATTTAGTCCCTGTTTTGCTTAAAAACTGAAATTAATGTCTACTGGTCTAGAGTTTGAAAGTCATTTGAAAAAATGTGACATTAGGCATAGTAAACATTAATTTCACTGTTTAAATTAAAACAAAGATTTCTACTCATACATGTACTGGATAAATATAACATTTATATTAATCAAATAATGTTGAAATTGCTTAAAAATTACCTTGTTCACATTTAGGTATGAAATTAAAGTTAGCAGATGTAGATTTCCAAAAATTCCAACAAGAAATCTGCATTTCTTAAGTAGGGCAATTGACCTTTTGGTGTGATGGCTTCCTGTGGCTTAATGATAAAGCACACTTGACTTGAAAGTGGTTTCCTAGGTTAAAAATAGAAATTGGATTAAATTTTTTGTCAGGAGGCATATTTTCTTTAATAAGACTTTCTATCTCTAGGTCAGTAGACATTAATTTCACTGTTTAAATAAAAACAGTGCAGTCTATTCACGTATACCTACTAAATAAAAAGTGTACAAAAATTGGATTGCTTGAATTTTTAATTCATTGCATATGATAAAAGTATTTAAATCTATTTAAATCTTTTATTTTTTTCTCTGAATGTGCAGATGATGTGATTGATAGCAGCAATGAGGAAGTCTAGGAAACTAGGAACAACAAAGAAACTTGGGGACTGCTGAAATTTCTAGGGATTTAATGAGGAAAGAAGGCATGGAGAATTTTTATGCTCACTGGAGATACTGAAAGTGAGAAAAAAATGTTGAAGATGCAAGTGACCTGCTTAAAGTTGTGAGTGGATAGCAGGACAAAGGCTGAGAAGGATGGCAAAAAATCAAGTTAAAGTAACATGACAGGAAGTAGTGGAGAGCCGTGATTCTCTATTAATAAATAAAAGCAGTCATCTCAAAAATAAATATAACGTTTTTGCTTTGGATTTCTGCTGCAGTTTCCATAATATGCATTCTTTTCATTTGAAGGTGAATCCTTTGAAGCTATACCTTAATGAAGATGTGTGTATTGAAGACCCAAAAGAGGTGGGGTCTAATTTGGTGTCTTGTCCCATATTTAATGTTAAATGCTTTGTTTTAGCTCTATCTCTGATATTGAGCGCTTTCTAATACCGCGCATATAATATATAAATAATTATACATACTTATATTTATTTATATTTATATACACTTTTCACACACACACACATATATATATATATATATATATATATATAAAACAGAGGGTGTCTGTCTGTCTGTGTGATATTTTTCACTTGAGACTCATCCAACCGATTTTGACCAAACTTGGCACATACATTGTACAGTGTAAGAGACAGATTGTTAGTGTAACAAAATTGATAATTTAAAAAAAATCAATAATTGATAAAGCTGATCAAAAACTGAAAAATTCAACTTTTTTCCTCTGATTTTGTTCAAACTCTATGTAAGTTACTTACATCATGACGAGTTCAGCAATACCTCATTTTTATTTCTACTCCACTGCGTTTAGTGAAAAACGAAAAATTGATTTCAACACAAATCGATTTCAGTCCAAATCTTAAACTAAAATTTCCCTCAATTTTCAAGCAATCTAATACAAACTTCACTCAATTGTTGCCAAGAATAAGTTGATTGTTTAACAGTCATTTAACTTGATAATTGAGTCCATCTATATAATGATAATCCACGTAAATAGCAAAAAATGGCAATTTTTACTGGTTTCTTTCTTATTTTGCATTGATCTTTCAACCAATTTTCATCAAACTTAACAATTGCTTTATAAATGTATCTACTTTTATATCTCTGGTAGCACACTGACAAATTGAATTTCAAAAACTCCAAAATAATTGTGGTCTGAAGTGGGTCTTCATGTTGCCTGTTTTACACCTTCATGTCCTTGGCTAACTTAAATAAATACAGACTACTTATGTTATATCAGTAACTGCAGTAATTCAAAATGTTTTTTTAATGAAAGTACTTTAAAATAATTGAAGATAGACTCTGTTACATCTAAACATGATGCTGTTTTTGCTCCGTTCTAATTGAATGCTTTTTCTGATTGACCAACTGTGTATGGCTGGTAGTATTCTACAAACTTATCCCTAACTATGTTTTTTTCCTGCTTTTTTTTTATCTTTTGTGCAGTTGGTCATTCATGTGGGTGTGTCTGGTGTTGCAAATGATTTGACCCTTGAACAACTTGCTCACAACAATGGCTATGTTCTTGATGACATCACTGGCAACTGTCCAGAGGGTAACTGCTGTGTTGTTGGTGCTGAGCGTGTTATCAGTTCAGAAATTGACATGCAGGATGTTTGTGATTCTGTCAATAACACAAATAAAATAACAGCTGTTACATCAGATGATGCTGGCAGGTACGTTGACAAAACAAACAAAAATAAATTGTATTGTTTTTATTCAATTTATGTAATTTATTAACTATTTCAAAAATGAAAAAGGAAACTTGATATTTTACATTGCAATTACAAAATGTATCTACATTTACCATAAAACTAAAAAGCAGTTCAAGGCTTCAATAAATTATGGTGTTTTTATTTGTCAAGTTTAAAGTAACTGAACTATTTTTGCTGTCATCAGAAGGTACATGGTGATGTGTAATTCTCCAATCTCTATGCAGTGGACTCTTGAGATGATGTAGAGAAGTGATACATTTACAAATAATAATTGCAATAAATGGACATATTGAAATCATACAAGGAAATAATTATAAAATTTTTTTAATGTTACTGTAAAGAGGTAAATCAAAAAAGGCAAGAAAAAAAAGAAGCTGAACAGATTTCCATTCTTCTGATCAGCATAATCTATTCTTGGTATGGAAGAAGGCTCATTCATTAATTACTTAATATATATATATATATATAATATTACATAACAGAAAAATCCAAAATTACCTCATGAGTATAGACTATTTAAACTAATGTCAATGCATTAGCTTTATTCAACTTAAATTGTGGGCTGTATTCAGTGTCAGAACTAGATTTAAAATTTAATATTAAAAAAAAGTTGAAAGATTGATACAGAGCCAATCCATGACTTAGCAGACAACACAAATGGCTTGGCTCTGTATTAATTTTCCAATTTTTTTTTTTTATTTTTTATTTTTTTTTAATATTTTAACACCTGGACACTGCATTACCTCCTCTTATCAGAATAGAAATAAATGTTTTTTTTTTTTTTTTTTTTTTTAAGGGAAAAGTCAGAAGTAGTCTTGTAGTTTTTGAATTATTGTATAGTATTTGATTTTTTTTTATAAATTTTTTTAAAAACAATGTTTAGTTTTTTTCTTTTTTAAGATGTAAAAGCAGTTTTATGTAACAGAAATGATTTGAATTTTTTTTTTATTGTTGAATAGGTATTTTCTATGGCATTCTAATGATTTGCCCATAGAGGAATAAATAAAATAATTGTTTTTACAATCAAAGAATTCCAGATCTGTACCATTTTGTAGTCAGTTAAATCTTGATCTTCTGATATCTTAAATTTTGTTGAATTGATGATAGAATCTCATTGACATTCTATTTTGATAATACAACATTTGTGCACCAAGTTTTATGTTTAATATTCAGGGTCTTATGGGTTTTTTGTCCTGGGTAAGACGTTAAACTACGTCCAACAGCAAGGCCTCTTATCAGGAGGTTTTGAGGAGCGTGGAACCACCTCTTAATTGCTGGTTTTCCAAGCTGCACTCTGACTCGGGGTGGTAGCACCTGTTAGGGTCCCAGCTATGGGCAAATAGTTAACTATTACCAGCAATACTTTTTTGAAAAAAATCATTATCAGTAATACAATTTTGAAGGAAATATATTACCAGAAAAAAATTTTTGACAAAACAATATACCAGCAATAAAAAATTTTGTCGGCATTAAATAACCCATTGAGGTTCATATGCCGTTAAACAAAATAAACCAAACCAAATCTTATGGGTTTTTACCTTTGTCTTTTCAACTATTTATGATCAAAATTTAAATCTATCCATTTAGTTTGAGTAAGATTGGGAAAGAATGGGCATGGCAACCGAGAGGTCAATCAAGGGGAACAGTTTATTTTCTGAGGAAGTACTACTGAAAAATTCTCAGCCTAACCAAGCAGGAATTAAAAAAAAATCTGATGTTTGGTCAGACTGTGTGAAATGTATCAGGTTTGGAAATTTTCAGCATCCCATTTTTTTTTTCTTAAATGTGCAACATGAATTTTTTATTAAAAATAAATTTTAAAATTCTTTTTTCTTTCTCCTCCCCAACAGGTACCTCTGTGATTTTTCTTACTACACATCCCTTTATATAAACCGAAGACGCTGTGCTTTCATTCACGTTCCTACTCTTGATAAGCGTTATACTGCCGAAGAACTGGCCTATGGTCTGAAAGTAGCAATTCTGTCAATGCTAGAGCAGATCTCCTCCTGACCTGACGCCCTGTGCTGTCCCGCTGACTAAACTGGAAGAGAAAAATGGGGTGGATGAATTTTTTTTTTTCTTTTTTTTATCAAAAACAAAAAAAAAGTGATAAAATTTTAAAGGTGGTGGGTGGGGAAATGTTAGGTTTATAAATAGGACAATTCCAATGATGAATTTAAAGAAAGGAAACGAAAAGAGTAATTTGTACACTCTCTGCCTTTTTCAATAATCTTTCTGCAATGACTTTTAAGGAGTAAAGTATTAAAAAATCATTAAGAAAATGATGAAAATTAAAAAACAAAATGTTAATGTTACTTTGTAAAGGGGGGGGGGTATTAGTTCATTTATACCAAATACCCAACAGAATTTTTCTGCTGTGTGAACAGATCCTTTTTTTTTTTTTTTTTTTTTTTTTAAATATATATATTCCCTGTCTCTCTGCTTTTCATTAAGTATAAATTTAAAAAAAAAATATTTGGATGTAATTTGCATATATTGATTTTAATTTAGATAGGGTGAATTGCAATTCATAAAGTGCTTGAGATATATATATTTTTTTTTCTCTAACATCATCAAAATACATGTAATGTTTATATTACATTTCATATCTTTTAATATGATTCAATTCATGATCACTGTTGAGCTAGTCTTTTTAGCGATCCAAAATTAGATTTAAAAAATATTTGAAAGAAACACCAGTCATTTTATTAGGAAAAGATTTTCTACTTCACATCTTCACTTTCATGACTTTTTCCCTTTTTCTATTGATATCAAATATTTTAGGACACTCTCTTCGGATCCATTAAAATATCTGCAAAATTCATTTTAAATTTCCACATAAATTTAAACTCACCATTCCCCAAGCCGAAAAAACTGTTTTTGTTTTGTTGTAATATTCAGAAAAATAAATTACTGCACCAAGTGACACAAATCTCTCAGAAAAAAGTCTTGAAATTATCTCCATTAACAATTTTGGATAAAGCTATGATCAATTAGATTCTGTAGTTTTGGTACGAGTCATTATCAGTCCAAGAATTGTAATCTTAAACTCATTCTTTCCTCCACCCTGTTTTAACTGATCCATTCTTTTGTACCGTTTCTTTTTGGTGTGACCAGCTCTTTTCATGAAGACTGCATATTTGAAGAACTGGCTATGGATAGATCAGCAATGTAAAGAATGACATGAATTCTTCAATAATTCTTGGTACTATAGCCAAATGTATAATTTTGGGCTTATTTCTCTGATATAAATTTGACAACACAATCACCATTTTTTTTTTTTTTTTTTTTTTTTTTTTTTTTTTTTTTTTGTAAGATTCAAATCACTGAAAAGTCCCAGAGGGATGAGGTGGGGTGGGCTAGGATTGCTCTACCTGGCACTCCATTTTAGACCCTTTTTTATTTATTTATTTTTTTTTTATTATTTATGAAAGACTCTTTGTACATAGGTATGAGAAGAAGGTGCTAACATATATGGCAGCATCAAAAGTTTCTACACATACACCTGAATATAAAAACCGGTACAATTCATGTCCTCCAACGGAATGTCTTTTAAGAATTGGATAAAGTCATAATTTTATAGACTTTATTAGTGGAATTAAGTGTTATAGAAGTTGTAAGACAAAAAAAATACCAAAAACACTTTGGTTCAAATTTCAGATAACATCGCTGAGTAATTAACATGTCAAACATTAAATCTAATGAGACATTTCTGCACAGGTTCTAATCCTGTTTGTAGCTTTATGCTGGACTAAGTAAAGATTTTTAAATATCTATATAAATTTTAGATATACCATTAGGATTTCTATGTAATAGTTTTTGTTATGATATTAATGCTGATATAATATGAAATGACTTTGTCATTATCTCTCTCATCTTCAATGAAGATGTGAAGAATTTTCTTCTACCCACAATTCTCAGAAAACATTGTATTACTAAACATTGACATCCTTGTTCAGCTGATGTACACCTACCCTCACCGAATCAACCCATTCTACCATTCCAATAAATGTATTAGTAAAGGATTAGGGCATCTAATGTCTTTCAAAAGTATTTATTCTTGTTCAGAAACTAACATTGGAATTTTGGAATTGTGTGCTGGAGGGAATCTTATGACGCAAGAACTGCAATCATAAAAAAGACTCAAGTGTCTTGGAAGAGCTGCTGTCCAGGTGACCAGATCTCCTTGGCATTGTTGTGGGAAAGTTTAAGGCAAGATTATCAAATTTAAGATATATTATTTTCCTTCAAGTTGTCTGTAAGATTTAGAGAAAATTGCATTGTTCATTATGGGGGGGGGCGTTTGTAACCTGTTTAACTATATTCAATTTTATTGAGTTTTTTCTTCCATTAATTAAAAAAAAAATTATTTCATTTTAAATAGGCAAAATACTTATGTATAAATGATTTTTTTTTTTTTTAATTCAATAAGACTTGGCACTTTGCAGACTTTAATAACTTAAACGGAGTGGCTCTTGCAGCATGTCTCAGTGGCGATGGTGCGAGGTAATGCTTTCTCCATCATTGTGGGTGGCAGAGGATAGCATAAAAAATATTTTGTTTTTGTTTATAGATGCTATATTTTGAGAAATTATCTTTACAATTAATAAATAAGAAAAGGATAAAAAAATAAAATTATAATCACAAAAAGTGATATCATACAAGTGGAAAAAAAAAAACCCAACTTAAATCAGATGCTTTTAAATATATATATATATATATATAGTGTATTGGGGCAGCAGATAATTATTTAAACATATATTATTAAATATAACAGACAATGAATGTCTTTTATGTCTGATCATAAGCTGTTCTAATGTTCAAATGTTTGCTTTAATTTCTGGTGAAAAATAAAGACAAAAATTGTCCAACATTTGGATATTTTTTTTAAGTTGGTCCTAAGCTTTTGGCTCACATGAGCCATTCTCAGAGTGGTTATACAGGCATGAAACAAAGATATCCACTGTCAAAGATAATATTTTGTTATTCTGATATAGAAAATTGCTATGCAACGATAACTGTTGCAGAATAGCAGATGCTGATTGTAAGTTCAAGATGTGGTTCTATGACGTCATTACCATGTGATAGACTGAAGTATTACAACGGAACCAATGTCTGGATGCAATGTAATCTGTTGTGACTAGTTTTAAATCTAATTTTGTTGAGTGTGGGTTGCTTTGTTTTAATGTGGATGGCCTCCAATATCTGAAAGTTCTTTTTACTGTATGTATGTGTATTATTCCCTCAGATATTGAAGGCCATTTACATTAAAACAAAGCAACCCACACACAACAAAATTAGATTTCAAATTAGTCACAACACATTACATTACGTTTAGACATTGGTTATGTTGTAATACTTTGGCCTATTGCATGGTATGACTTCATAAAACGCATCTTGAACTTATGATCTGAATCTGCTATTCTGTGACTTATTGTCGCATAGCAATTTTCTGTATCAAAATAACAAAATATCATCTTTGATGATGAATATCTTTGTTTCATGTCTGTATAACCACTCTGAAGATGGCTCATGTGAGTCAAAAGCTTGTGACCAACTTAATAAAAAAAATATACAAATGTTGAACAATTTTTGTTTTTATTTTCACCTGAAATTAAAGCAAACATTAGAATGGCTCATGATCAGACATAATAGTCATTCATTGTCTGTTATATTTAAGAATATATGTTTATATACTTAAAATGTTTTTAAGAGATTAAATCATCAAAATATGGCTCCAGATATTTATAAAAAAATATTTCTAATGCCATTATTCATTATTAATCACCAACAATAAAACTTAATACAGCCATTCCTCACTTAATGACTTGCATGTTTAACAAACCCCAGATTTACAATCAGCTGTAAAATCTCAAAAAAAAAAGAGACATCTAAATATAGAAGAAAATAAAACTTGAAATAATTAAGGTAAAATAAATAAGAAAAAATTAGTAGTACTGTATATCTAGTATGCAAACCAAAGTAATGTACAGAATAAAAAGTTGATTTTCATATTTGTTGGCGTTTATTGTTCTGGACTGTATAAAGATTTAGAAATATTACAAATGGTGCAAAAAGTGACATTAAATCTATTTGAAGCCAATTGACAGAAACCCATTACATGTCTAGTCATGTCTGAAATAGCAGTCAAGTCCAACTTTTCAGGTTGTTGAAATAAAACCTAATCAGAAAGTGAGCTGTTGCTCTGTATAGTTAAACATAAAGTGTTTTGATTTATATTCAAAAATACAATTTCATTTAAATCTTGCAGATATCCAAAGGGAATATTCATTTTTTTTTTTGATTCCTTATATTTAAAATATCTCTACCAATTCAGAAATAATTAGAAAATGAACATTTTATTTCACTTTTAATTTTAAATTGAAATTCTTAAGTTTCCAATTCAATTTTCAGTTCATTCTGTTGCCTAAAAACAATTATTTTTTCATTTTTGTAAGCCTGTCAAAGTTTTTCTCTTCTTGCCAGTATATATATATATATATATATATATATATATATATATATATATGTGTGTTTCTCTGAATCACTGGTGTGTATATGTGTGTTAGGCAGTGGAGGTCAGGGTGGGGGTCACTTGCATTTGGGGTACATTCTTTTCACCTCATAATAAATCTTATGCCCCACTGCCTAACTTGAAGAATTGATGGCCCACCTCACTCTACAACTGTGTGTTCATCTGTTTAAAAAAAAAAAAAAAAACTAAATTCACCTTTTTCTCTGCCATGTCCTCCAATTTTCAATTTTTTTTCAAATGTTTTTCTTTGAAATTTTTTGTCCTTCTTCCCAAACCCATTTTTGCCTCCTTCCAAAACCATTTTTTTCTCTCTCTCCATTTACCCTCCCCCCACCCAACATTTTTTTTTTTTCTCAACCTCTTTTTTTTCTCAAGTGTTAAGTTGAGGTGGTCTGTTAAAATGTCTAATTTATAAACAATTCATATTTATTAACCCATAAATAAATGGACACACTTTTTCTTTCTCCCTCTGCCT